AAAAAAAAAAACAAGCTTAAGAGTTAACTCATGCAGTCAGACACTTAGTTTTGCATAAATGATAATATAATGTCCAAGATTTGACAACTTCATGAATTCCACAATGTCACAATCAATTTGAATACAAAAAAGCACCTTCACTATTTAATCTAATCACAAATGCCCCCATGATTGTTATTTAAAATTTACAGTTGGATCCAAAATTATAGGTGTCTCTTGCCCACGAAACATTTGACTCTAATAGTTCGTGAACAACTATCGCTCTTTGTACCAAAAAAAAAAAAGGTACTAAACTACAAAATTAACAAGAAGATGATTACTAAGAAAATGTAAATATCAAGGGAGTGTGTGCACAACCATAAGAGGGTTGAGAAAAATGGAAAGACATTTTTTTTTTCTTTTTTAAATATTTTCAAACTTGTGACCTATATATAGGTACTAGAAAAATGCTATGTTGACATTAAATGATGTGTGAGTGTCAGAATTGCTGATTTTGAAGATGATATGATGTGTAAAATAATATGATCTTGCATCGTGTGTATTATGGCGAATTGTAATATAATTCATCCACTTTATGCAGCACTACTACAAATTCCTAATAACTAACTTTTGTCCCAAATAATAGTATTTCCACCACACCACAAAAGGGTCCTACACAAGTTTTTGAGTCAACAAACAGTTACCTGGCTGACTCTATTCATGCATGAAGGAGGGCACTTACAAGATGGACCACACTCGTAAATTACACCCTTTTGCTTCACAAGACCACCCTTTTCATTGTATGCAATCTCCCCTCCATTCCTCAACACACATCCACACTGGCCCAAATTCGAGCAGCCATCAGTACAATCACACCCACCACGCCCGATTTTCAAGAACCATTCAGGATACATGTTTTCAGTGGCATAACCAAAATTTTTGGGCTTCTCGCCATCCAGCCCGTTCATGGCCCTCACAGCCATTTTCTCCTTCCCTTGAGATATGTCATGCACCACACAACACTCCCTGCCCCTCAATTTCTTTTTCAGCCCCCCACCATTCATGTTACACACTTTTTCTTGATTCGTCAACCTATGAAGCTCGAATTTGAACACCAATTTTCGATTGTGTCCCCTTTCCTGCCAATATTTATTCACCACATACAGCCCATCATACACAAACTCAACATCCCGATTTACACGTGTGACCTTCTGGATGACCCTAACCGGATACTTAACTTCCTTGCTGTTCACCAGAGCAAGGTTTCCGAGCTTCAGTTCCTGATCGGAACTCACACTCGATCCCAGTTTCGTGCTGCCACCCTGGCCTGAGTATATCAAGACATCTTCCGTTTTAGCCTCATTTTCATATCGACCCGAGTTGACCACGCTGGTGGCGATTTTTTTGCCGTTGAGGGTCACATAGGCTATGCCGGCGATATACTGAAGGTGCAGGCCCACGATGACCAATTCTGCCCGGTAATGGAATTTATCTCCAGTTTTAATTCCGGGAATATTCCCAAAAGGATTAGCCGGAAGTATCCATTTCCCTCCCTTTTTCAGGCAGTTGGCAGCCTCCATGTCAAATCTTTTCGTGCAGTGGCCTTCTTGTTTTGGATTTCCCTTGCATTCATGAACCAGTTTGTTGTACAGATCCTGAAACAGCTTAAGAGTCTCTTTCACTCTGTTTCTTTCCACCATAGCCATGTTATCGCGCGAGACAGTGCTTGAGTTGGCCACCTCAAACGATCGCTTTATGCCATGTGAGGATGATTCGTGCTTGAGTGGTTGATTTCCAAACATGTTTGGACCTGCGGAGAAAGAAAAGTTTCTTCAAATAAAAGTAGAAAGTAGGCTCTTCAATCATGGACAGATTAGCCATAAACACATCCAGAAAATAGAAATCGGGGATCGACAACAGAAGTAACTAAATCAAACGAAAAAAGTTGACCATTGCTATAATTTTCTTCTCCTTGTAAAGAGAGGGTAATTAAAGAAAGTCTCAGATGCTGAGAGTACAAGAAAATCAACAACCATGTTTTTCACCAACATTCAACGTCTGCGAACATCAATTCCTCTGTACACAGATAGTTATTATAGAATCCTCAAGATTGTCAATCCATAGCAGAAAGATATGAAATGAAAAGGATAAAGAAATCCAGCAGCGGCAAACACATTTACGAGTAATACAAAAGAGAAAGAGAGAGGGAGAGAGAGAGAGAGAAAGAAAACAGTTTCTTCGCCATTTAATTAGTCGAGGAGCAAAAAGAATACAGAGATAATATCATCACCATCTTTCTTCCAGCTGCAAGAAACTAAATTACAGTTCAACGCCATAAAGGAAACACACACACACACACACACACACACACAGAGAAAATCATGAAACGGAAACAAAAATGATGATGCTGAAGAAGAAGAAGAAGAACACACTTACAATCAAACGACAGCCTATTCCACAACAGCTGCGAGAGAATACACAATTTTGTTCACCTGCAAGAGAAGAAAACAAAAAAATACCTCAAAGCGTTCGATAATATTGCCAAATAATAACAAGGAAAAAACGACGCTCGAATAACAGAGCATTGTGCATATTTACAGTAATTTTCTCCAATAACAGAGATTTTCGTTCTGCAACAATAGCTGTGTGTAAAAGTACAACTACGAAAATGGAAATTCGAAAAGTAAATTGAAGAGACGGAGTACCCCTTTTGCGAAGTGCTACAGGATAACTGCCCAGGGGCTATGATCCTCTACATTTCATTCCCATGAATTTGTTGTGCAGTTGAGAGAGAGAGAGATTTGAATCTATGCATGCACCTATTATACACCAAGACTTGTGTTTTTCTCTCTCCTATATATCCAATGTGACACTGACCCAATATCATGTAAATCGTGCACCATACTTATTAAACAAAATAACAACCATACTTTAAATTTCTTTAAACAAAAATAATATTCAGAACAACCGGTTATTTTTTATTTTACATAAATTTTTCAAACTATTTACTTTTCACGTAGTTTATTCAAAAAAAAAAAAAAAAAAAAAAAAAAAAAATTGTGACAGTCAAACATGACAAATACATACATTGGTATACTATTTTTTTTTTTTTTTAAAAAAAAAAGTGACGGTGAAAAATGACAAATATATAGAACTTTGGTACGTACACTGTCCTTTGTGTTATATCGGTCCTCCATAATAAGTGCAATATTTGCAACTATATAAATTCTTGAGTGAGATAATTTAATCATTAGTCGTAAAAGATTCCGACCATAATTGTGAAAAACGAGAAACAAGAAAGAAAGGTAGATCTGCCATGATCTGAAAATGAAAATTATGTATTCAATGTGGATGCTACAATAGGGTTGGTGTTGACCAGTGTTCTAAAAGTCGCTAGGCGCCCGTTAGGTGTTCGACCAGCGCCTAGCGCCTAGAGCGCCTAGGCAGGACCTAGGCGGCGCCTAGTCGGAGCCTAGAAATTAATACTAAATACTTTATTTTTTAATTTATTTTAACTATCTACAAAGATAAATTATCTCAGCTTATAATAAATGGACACAACTAAGTCCTAATAATAAAATTAATATATTTTAAAGAAAACTTAAGAACAAATTAATATTTAAAAAATTTAAAAAAATTAAAAAAAAACTGAAAAATTGCGAGCGAGCCCGCCTAGGAGCGACTAGGTCTGCCTATGCCCGCCTAGGCGCCGCCTAACCGCTTGACCGCCGAGCCCGCCAAGGCCGCCTAAGAGCGCCTAGGGCCGCCTAGATCCGCCTAGGCGCCGCCTAGCCGCCTGATCGATTTTTTCTGCCGATTTGTGCAAATCGGAGGCGCCCGAGCACCGCCTAGCGCCTAGGCGCCGTCTAGGCGGCCGCCTATGCCAATTTTTAGAACAGTGGTGTTGACAACCGACCTGATTTTTTGGAATTAAAATGAAGATTAATGATCATTATATAAGATCGCCGCTCAAATTCGCTCGTATGTCCAACTTAACTCGACTCGGTACAAGCTAGGCATCAAACTGACTTTATGCATATATGAGCTAACGTCGGTTCAAGGGGACAACCGACTTCCTAAAGATCCTTCTCGGAGAATCTCCCCACAAATCGAGGTCCGAGATGACTGAAAATCGAAGCAGGTGACGAGATACCCATGCAATTGGACCACGTGCTATACTCGTAATCATTACTGTCCCCCCTTTGACCAACCGACCGCTTCAAAAAGTTACCCTACACTAAATGCGATCGCATCTACCTCGTACCAGAAGTCTAACTTATACACTACTATAAATAGCATAATTTAGTATTGAAGGAGGATCCTTTTTTTTACACACATTTAATACACACATGAAAATAAGTTCGGTTTACGCATATACTGACTTTATGTACTTAACAATTACTCAGAAATCACACAAAGTCTCCACCTTTTACGCTTAAATTATATTGTGTTATTGTTGTTGAATTCTATACAACAGTTGGGTTCCAGCGAGAAAGAGTCTTAGTGAAAGAAATGAGAATAAATCTTACCCATAGGATTGAATGATCTAACAGTTTAGTAAAAAGCCAAAATTATATCGTCATTAAGAGCATTGTGTTATTTTTCAGCACCCCATTCAAAGAATTGGGCCCACTACGAATAATAAACCTGCCCCAAGTACCCATAAATTAACAATCACCCCCCCACCCCACAACCCAGTGGGTCCCACACCCATCAACCCTTCCCAATTCCCATCACGTCTCTTCATGTCTCTCTCTTCTCTCTCCCACAGACAGACACACCCGTCTATCTCATCGCCTTCGCCACACGACTGTCGGCGACCTTGAGCTCGCACCAAACGACTGACGTGTCTCTTCGCCACCGCAGCTACACCTCACAAACTCCAAGCCCGCCTTCGTCCGCTCCCACCAACCCTTATGTCGGCATCGTCCACTGACCACTGCATTCTCCATCCGCCGCCGTCATCGGACACATCGACGTACCTTCACGTCAACGCCGACGACCGGCATGGGGTGGGGGGCAGACTCTAATTGGACTGCCGATCTCGCCGGCGACCACGGCCTGCAGGGGGCGAATCGGCCATACCAGGTGGGTCTAGGCGACGGCGCCGCCGTCTGCAACGAGCAGCGAGATGGCTGAGCGGCGGCAAGGTGGTTGAGCGGCGACAAGAGCGATGGGTAGAGGGAGTGATGTGGTTTTCATTTTGAGAATTTGATATTATTCAGGGACCTAGGTGCAATTTTGATAAAAAATGATTATATTCGATTTAGCCCATATGCCTAATTTGTAATTTAGAAAAGGTATGTACAAGAAGATATCATTTTTTTATATATATTTTATTCATATATATTAAATGATGTGTGAGTGTCAGAATTGCTGATTTTAAAGATAATATGATGTGTAAAATAATATGATCTTGCATCGTGTGTATTATGGCGAATTATAATATAATTCATCCAGTTTATGTAGCACTACTACAAATTCCTAATAACTAACTTTTGTCCCAAATAATAGTATTTCCACCACACCATAAAAGGGTCCTACACAAGTTTTTGAGTCAACAAACAGTTACCTGGCTGACTCTATTCATGCATGAAGGAGGGCACTTACAAGATGGACCACACTCGTAAATGACACCCTTTTGCTTCACAAGACCACCCTTTTCATTGTATGCAATCTCCCCTCCATTCCTCAAAACACATCCACACTGGCCCAAATTCAAGCAGCCATCAGTACAATCACACCCACCATGCTCGATTTTCAAGAACCATTCAGGATACATGTTTTCAGTCGCACAACTAAAATTTTTGGGCTTCTCGCCATCCAGCCCGTTCATGGCCCTCACAGCCATTTTCTCCTTCCCTTGAGATAATTCATGCACCACAAAACACTCCCTGCCCCTCAATTTCTTTTCCAGCCCCCCACCAATCATGTTACACACTTTTTCTTGATTCGTCAACCTATGAAGCTCGAATTTGAACACCAATTTTCGATTGTGTCCCCTTTCCTGCCAAAATTTATTCACCACATACAACCCGTCATACACAAACTCAACATCCCGATTTACATGTTTTATCTTCTGGATGACCCTAACTGGATACTTAACTTCCTTGCTGTTCACCAAAGCAAGGTTTCCGAGCATCAGTTCTTGATCGGAACTCACACTCGATCCCAGTTTCGCGCTGGCACCCTGGCCTGAGTATATCAAGACATCTTCTGTTTTAGCCTCAATTTCATATCGGCCCGAGTTGAGCACGCTGGTGGCGATTTTTTTGCCGTTGAGGGAAACATAGGCTATGACGATGATATACTGAAGGTGCATGCCCACGATGACCAGTTCTGCCTGATAATGGAATTTATCTCCAGTTTTAATTCCAGGAATATGCCCAAAAGAGTTTGCCGGAAGTATCCATTTCCCTCCCTTTTTCAGGCAGTTGGCAGCCTCCATGTCAAATCTTTTCGTGCAGTGGGCTTCTTGTTTTGGATTTTCCTTGCATTCATGAACCAGTTTGTTGTACAAATCCTCACTTGAGGACACCAAATTTTATAGTGAGAGCACTGCTATAAACAGAATTCAACTCGATAGCATTATATCGAATTTTCAAACAAATAAATTCTCAAGCCGGAACTTAACTCTATACTGCTAGAGTTCAAGTTCATGCAACCAAGTTCGCCACTCGTCTAGAGTTCAAGAATGCTTAAAAGCAGGAGGATAAATTCCTAAGCCCAATTTCATTTCAATAATCAATAAGCATATCACAGAAACCTCAAAAATTATTTAGGTACTCATACCTGAGCTGGCGCGGCACGACGAGAGCGAGTGGTCATAACACAGTGTCAAGCATATATTCACATAATTAAATTTTCATAACTTAGACCAGTCTACAGAAACGCAGACTGGCTCTGATACCAAACTGTAACTTCCCACTTTTATTTGCCAAATTTCAGAATAAATTTTTCAAACTTTATTTCAAAACACTTGAGGCACTACTTATTTCCAAAAAACATTTCCAACAATATCATAAACGCAACTCCCAAATGGGTTCAATAGTCATGACAACACCCAAACCGGGTTCACCAAACATCAACTCCCAAAACTGGGTTTCTCAAATTCATAAATACTAGGGAGAACACTCCCTATCATAATTCAATATTCAAAATAAATAAAGAGTAATAGCAATATTCGAAACGAGGCGGAAGCAATGACATTTAATCAGACCACCAATCGCATCCCTCCGCCGTGCCCGCAAATACTAACCTGCATCCATGAAGAGCAGGTGGGGTTGAGCACAATAGAAAAATCAAGGTGCCCACCGCTATGCAATAATCGATAATCATAATATAAAACAGTAGCGCAGGTATGGTCGCAGTATGAACACAAATCAATTAATATCCCATCTCCTATCCCAAAGTCGACCCTCATGTGCACACCTATATCAATAGACTACTGAACTGATACACGTATCGAATGCCCCGCGGGCCTTGCATTGATGCCCAGTCAGTAGGAGTAAATCCACCCCGAATGCGAAAACTCACGCCTTGGCCTTACATACGAGGATCACAGCCAAAGCTCATGCCCTGACTGCCATACATAGAGAAGACTACCCGAAGGTACGTTCTATAGCTATGGGGATCCGTTCGACGGCCAACATAGCTCACATCGAAGGCTACATGGTTCACATGCATACGTTGATAATACCACAACAATAACAGTCAATTAAAGCATAGCAATTCATAATTAAAACCTACCTGGTGTCGAATGATAAAGTAAATAACCGAAAAATCGTAGGTGGTTAAGAAACTGCTCGTCAGACACCTACATAAGTCAAGACAGTCCCATAAGCAACTATCTCGACTCTTACACAAATAACGAGAATTATACTTAGTCGAATCACATCGACTAAGAAACTCGTGGAAGTTGTGGAGTTGGAACATTAGGACGACTTCTAGACTCGACGAAACAATTAATAAATCACATAAAAGCAGACAACGAAGATTTGGCACGAAAACAGGGTCAACAAGTCAAGAATTTGCCAATCAAGGCCAACTGGTGCCAAAACGGTTAAAAAGGACTAGTTCAAATATATAAGAATGAGACCATAAAGAGTTAGGCTTGGACTTGTAAATTCAAATTTTTACAAGATATAAAAGACTGAAAAATACACATTTACACCAAAGAAAAACCCCTAAAAATGCTCCTAACCATTTTAAATAATTTAAGCAAAATTTGACCAGAAATTTAATTAAATCATTTAAAATAGCTACAGTCCGAACTTAACTTTTAAATTTTTACAGCACCAAGATATCATACAGAATAGCAACATATCCAAAAATTAGCCAATTCGGACAGAAACTTTATTTTATGAATTTATTAAGAAATAGCCCAGAAACGTTTTTGAGTTGTGTCGAGGCTGCAGGCCATATAAAAATCCCAAATTTTAACTACACGTAATATATCATCAAAATAACCACATATCGAAAAATCAAAATTTTTGGAGCAATACACGAATTATAGTGATTTTAGCAAAAACGGGCTGCAACACGATTTTTAAAAATTCGTATCTTACAATATACACATCGAAACGACACAAGGCCAAAGTCGTTGCGTCAAGGACATTCCTAAGTCCAATAATCCGCAGCACTTCCACAGAAAATACCACATCAACCTCAGTTCGACAATTTTTCAAAGTGACGGCAATCACTTAGATATCCAAAATGGCAATTATATATCAATAATTTCACAAACACTTATCTAAGGCACGTAATCAATTCGAAACTCAATCTTTCAGCAAATTAACACGCAATATAACACCATAACATAAATCACGGAGTTAAACGAGACGGGATTCAAGCTTAGGTACCGTTCTCGGGACACGTTCGAAATTGGAACGAAAGGAACGGTACGACAGTGGGCTCGACGGCTTTGCCTCGTCTCGCGGAGGAGGAGCAGTGACGACAATTTCGACAACAAATGGCGGGCAGCAGGCTTCGGTGGTTCACGGCCGAGCAACTGAACAGAGACGCAAGAGGAACAGCGGCAAGGGTCGAACGGACCGTACGTGCGCTCTGACGGGGCTCGATAGGACTCAACGCCTACGTTCGGCACTCCGAGGGGACCCGACGGCTACGTTTGGCACTCCGACGGAACTCGATGGGACCCGACGGTTAGAAACTCACGAGCAAAGGTTGGAGGGCAGTTTGGTGGTTGTCTGTTGGTGTTCTCGTCGGTCAGAGGTGGTCGCATGGAGGGGCAGCGGTTGCTCGCCGGAAGAACTTGAACAACGGCGGTCCTGGGTGATGGCGACGGGCAGCGGGGCTCGAAGTTGCAGGGTTTCAGCGAATTGTGATGGCGATGATGGAGACCTGATGATGGTGCTGCGCGGGAGGTGGTGCTGTGGGTTGCTGGCGATGAGCGCTGAAGATGGTGATGATTATGGCGCTGAGATGGTGATGACAGATGATGATCGTGATAAGGTGCTGCTGTCTCTCTTTCTTTCTTTTTTTTTTTTTTTTTACGATGGCGATTAGAAAAGCTGAAAAGGGAGCGGGCGAGAGATAGTAGACAGAACGAAGAGGGTTTCTCGCAATAATTATGAGCATAGGGTTTGACTAACCAAGCTTGGTTAACAAGAAAAGGCCACACGGGCTCGGGCCGAACGCACGGGCGCGGGTCTTCGGTTTATCTCTTACGAACAATTAAATGCTCGGTTCGATCAACGGTAAATATAAATAAAACCGGAACATAATTATATCTACACAATAATATTATTATATAAATACATATAATAATTATTAATAATACACATAATAATATTTTTAATTATACACATTTAAACACATATTATCAATTAGGCAAATAGTCAATTAGACAAATAATAGAATAACAATAATAATAATAGAACAACAATAATAAGAATAATAATAATATCCGAAAATAATTCCAATAATCGAGCGGGTTAAATTAGAACTACACGATTAAACCGAAATCGCCGTCTAACGAGCGTTTTTCAATAAAGCGATCGAGTACTCCAACCTTTAATTTAAGTCGACAACGCGACTAATAAAATAAATATAACCTTATAAATAATATTTGATAAATACAATATTCCGAGAAATTCTATAAATCGAACGGGGTGTTACAATCTATCCTCCTTAAAATATTTCCGTCCTCGGAAAATACAAAAGAACACGCATCTAAAGGAAAACGACATACTTGAAAAGCATACACTCACGTACAAGACTCAATCCGACTCGCCCTATGCTCATATGTTTACCTTATTGCATGGGAGGATGATCAATCCTGCCCGAGCTCAGGCGCACATCCTCTTGCAAGGGACCCAGTCCGGCTTGGCCTATACCCATGTGTAGCGCCCCGTTCGTTTATGAATAAATGGATTATTATTATTATTATTATTATTATTATTATTATTATTATTATTATTATTATTATTATTATTATTATTATTATTATTATTATTTTTATGTGTTGATTTATATTTAATTGTCTAATTGCCTAAATGGTTTTTTTGTGCTTATTATGAATTTTATATAAATTTTAAAAATGTAGATTATAAATATAATTGCCAAATATTATTTTAATTTCGTTATACTGAGCCCGATAAATTTCCTAAGTTTTAACCGAGGCTAGCCGACCTAAGTCATATAGCCGCGAACCGCGCCCGCGCCCGTGCCTAAGCCCCGGCTGACCCGCTCTCCTCCCTTGTGTTGTTTTTGGCAAGTTTACTTGTATGGGAAGTCTTCTCCCAAACTCTAACCTAGCCTTTATAAATAGCAGAGATTGGACCCTCTTCCTCGTCATTTTATTTTTTCTCCCGCAGCCTCCCTTTTCTCTCTCGCTAATCTCTCCCAATCTCTCGTGATCTCTCTCCCAAACTGATCGCCCTCCACCCCTCGCTTACAATCGATCGCCCATCATCACCACCTCGGAGGCTCCACGTCGCTGCTCTACCGCAAGCCAGGCCCGTCGCTGTTCGCGCGCATTTTTGCTGTCCAGCGCCCAGCAGTCGCGCGCAGGCCCTCCTAGCGCCCAGCAGCACCAGCGCGCCTAGAAGCCCCGTTTTAGCCCCGTTCGACCCTTTTTTGTGCGAATCTCCCGAGAACGGTACAAGGTTGATAAAAATCCCTTATTTTTATGTAAATATGTGATATGTGTTAAGCCTTGAAGAGATTTGCATGTTAGGGTTTAGATATGATCGTTTTATTTTGATTTACTTTCGATATATGTGAAAGCATGTGAATTATGAGTGAATCGTGATTAGGGCTGTGGAATTTTGGAACATTTCAAGTCTTTGGCCTCATGGTGAAGGCCTTAGACGTTTTTGTTGAGTATATGGTCATATATGTATTTTTGAATCGGGTATTGCTGCTGAACTTTTATCAAATCATCATAAATGGTGTGTTCATCCGATTGCTGTGCAATTTGAACTG